GTCTGGCCCTGAACCTCCAGCTGGCTTGAGAGGCAGGTCTGTTTCCAGCCTCTTTCCTTCCCCAGCTGTGGGGAGCTGAAGGCTAGTCACAGGGTGGGCCCTGCCTTCTCTCGGGGACACTACAAGGGCATGCCTGGTGTTGCTGGGAGAGCAGTCGCTGGCTGGAAGCTGGGACGTGCTGGTGGGCGGGGCTGGGGCTGCTGTGTGTCCCCATGTTGGTGTATGTGTGTATTGTGGAGGGGACACAACAGTGGCTGGCCAGGGCCTCAGAGCTGGCTCCTGGGTGCTTGGCTACCCACCCCCAGCTATTTTCTTTCCAGCTGGACTTTGCCCGGCCCTCCCCCGCACTGAGGCCATTCAGTCCTCTTTGCTGGGCCTTCTGGGGAGTTAGGTGGCCCTTGGCCAGGCTTGCTCTGGCCACCCCAGCTGCTCTCCAGCCCAGATGGGCCATGAGAGGCTGGATAAAGCTCCTGGGTCTCCCAGGAGGCCCCGCCCCAGTCACATCTGCTCCCTGTACCTCAGTTTCTTCTACTGTCAGGTCAGCAGGAATATAGCCACCAACTGCTGGGTTGGGCACAGTGCTGAGCACACACCAATGCAGTCATGGCCAGCTGGGGCTTTGGTTCCTAATGCTGGCTAAGAATGAGCGTTGGAGGCTGGGTGCCGTGGTTCACGTCTATAATCCCAGCTCTTTGGGAGGCCGAGGTAGACTGATCGCTTGAGCCCAGGACCTCTTGACTGGCCTGGGCAACATAACGAAACCCTGTCTCTGCAAAAAATAGAAAAACAGAACTTGGTGGGGTGGCACGTGCCTGTAGTCCCACTACCTGGGAGGCTGGGGTGGGCAGATCACCTGAGCCCAGGAGGTTGAGAGGCTTCAGTGAGCCATGATTTCGTCACTGCACTCCAGCCTGGGTGACAGAGTGAGATCCTGCCTTTTTTTTTTTTTTTTTTTTTTTTTGAGACGTAGTCTCGCTCTGTTGCCCAGGCTGGAGTGCAGTGGCGTGATCTTGGTTCACTGCAACTTCTGCCTCCTGGGTTCAAAGGATTCTCCTGCCCTAGACTCCCAAGTAGCTGCTACTACAGTTGCATGCCACCATGCCTGGCTAATTAATTTTTTGTATTTTTAATAGAGATGGTCTCCATCACCTGATCTTGTGATCACCCACCTCTGCCTCCCAAAGTGCTGGGCCACCGTGCCCGGCCTTGGGGCCATTCCTGGACTGTCTTGAGACTGTGCTCTCTGCCAGCGTCTGTGCTGGGCCCTTGGGACTTAGAGAGACCCTGTGCTGCCCTCAGACTCCTCATCCCTTCAGGCCATGGGCTTCCAGTGGCATCTCTGAAGCATGGGGCGCGGCTGGGGTGGAGAAAGAAGGGGTCCCCATTTTGGATCGGTGCCATTCACACAGGGGAAGATGAGCATAATTAGGGGTGTGCAGACAGGCAAATAGGGGTGACAAATGGAAGACAGTAAGAGGATGATGGTAACGGTGACAATGATGATGATGATGATGATGCACCTTGATTCCTGAGTGGGCTCTGCCTTTTCCACCACCTCTCCTGCCTCCTGTCTCCTGTTCTAGTCCCCCACCCACCACGTGGTTTCCCTGCTGGCCTCAATCCCACCCAGGCCCTTGGCAATGTCAGGGCCTTTGCACAGGCTGTTCCCTCATACCTGGAACAGCATCCCTCCGTTTTTCAAATGGTTGCGCCTTTCTTGCTGTTCAAAGTCCTGCCGCCACCTTGATTAGCGTGTGTACTCCCACCCTTCTCCCCCGTCCCATTTCTTTATGGCCCTTTTGGGATCTGTAATGATCTGGTTTATGTTTATTTATCTGTTTGTTTTCTGGCTTCAAGTTCAGCTCTTTGTCTCTAGGGCCCTAAACAGGGCGTGGTATTGGGCACGTGTCTGTTGAGTGACTTTATGATGACAGTGATAAGAGTCATGGCTGACAATTACTGCTCACTGGACCTGGGTGGATGGTGCGCCCAGTGCTTTGTATTATTTTGCTTTCACTAAAGCTTGATGGCGTCAAGTGTCGGGACTATCATAATTCCCATTTTACAGATGTGGAAACTGAGGCCCAGAGAGATTAAGTAACTTTGCCCAATACCACACAGCAGGCAAGGGGTAGGATTGGAAGTCAGCTATGCTTTCTTAGCAGGGCATGGTGGCAGTTGCCTGTAACCCCAGCTACTTGGGAGGCTGAGGCAGGAGAACTGCCTGAACCCGGAAGGCGGAGGTTGCAGTGAGCCAAGATTGTACCATTGCACTCCAGCCTGGGTGACAGAGTGAGACTCCATCTCAAAAAAAAAAAAAAAAAAAAAAAAAGGAATTCAGCTTTGCTTGACTGCAGGAGAGAGGGTGACTTTGGATACAAGAAGGCAGGGCAGTGCCTCTCACCATAGAGTCACCAGGCCACTGTCCCATCTGCTGTCCTGGGAGGCCTGGACAGGGCCCTCCCCTCCTCCTGGAACTCTGGGCATTGAACATTCTAGGACACTATGACCTGTGTTGGTGGGTCATGCGGGGGCCCTGACTCCAAGGTCAGCAGCTGGGGCCTTTTTGCGGTGGGGGCTCCCTGGACTCGGGGTCCTCCCTGGCCACGGCTGCAGCTGAGAGAAGGGACAGGAGGTAGGATGCTACTTCCTCCAGGAGGGAAGCCAGCCATGCGCTTCCCAGCCCTATAGAACTGAGTCTCGCCAGGGGAGGGTGGAGGAATATGAGGGGAGAGCCTTTGTTCTTTCAGGGAGGGGGCAGCCCTTTCCCTCTAAGTAATCGGGCCTGGTTCTGGGGTGGCTATGGTTGAAGGTGGTGGTGGGGCTTTTTTGGGTGATGTAGCTCGAAGACTCCTATAAATGAGGGCACCTGGGTGCCAAATTGAGGTTGAAGGTTACCAGAGCTTCAGTTTTTTCCATGAGTAGCTGGAAACCTGGCTTTTGAGAAGTGCTGGGAGGTTTAAAAGATAGTTCAGGCTGGACGTGGCGGTTCATGCCTGTAATCCTAGCACTTGGGGAGGAAGAGGTGGCAGGATCCCTTGAGCCTAGGTGTTTGAGATCAGCCTGGGCAACAAAGCTATACTGTCTCTGTAAATTTAAAAAAAAAAAATTGGCGTGGACGTCGAGGCTACAGTGAACTGTGATGATGTCCCTACACTCCAGCCGGGGTTTTTTTTTTTTTTTTTGAGATGGAGTTTCTGTTACCTCGGCTGGAGTGCAGGGGCATGAACTCGGCTTACTGCAACCGTAGCTTCCAAGGTTCTAAGCGAAGGTTAGAGTAGCCTCCAGAGTAGCTGGGATTACAGGAGTGCACCACCAGGCCTGGGTAATTTTTATTTTTAGTAGAGCTGGGTTTTTGCCATGTTGGCCAGGCTGGTTTCGAACTTCTGGCCTCAGCCTCCCCAAGTGCTGGGATTACTGAGCCACTGCTCCTGCCCCATACTTCAAATCCAAATTTGAAAACCCTGTGGGACCTGAGTCAAACCTCTCCAGTGCCGCTGCTGTCCCTCCTGGCTTCTGGCTGTGTGGCATGGGTGGTGTCCTGAGTTAGGCTCCTCCCTAATATATCTTGTGCCCCCATCACCAGCCCTGTGTGGGTGCCAAGTGATGCCCACCCAGCTGCCCCACTTTCTAGATGTGGAAACTGAGTCGAGAGAGGGGAAAGGACTTACCCAAGGGCCTCCAACTGCCGGGCAGTTGCTTTTCTCTGAACCTCAAGCTGAGCCCGAGTTAGAGCCGACACTTTTGTATTCAGTGTTAATGTGTACAGTGAGTGCTCTGCTTTTGAAAAATTGTCAAAGCAATGCCCTTCCTCCAGTCGGGTCTTACCCCGTGTTTGGGTGCATACTAGGAGTCACAGAAGGAATTTGATGTCATTAACAGCGGTGGCGACCTGGGCTTCGTGGAAATTCATTGGGCCTGATGGAGAAGGATGCAGCTTTGGAAATTCTCCCTTTCCCTTTGGGTCATTTGGGTCCCTCCACCAGGTTGCCCTGTCCTGGGTGCAGGCTTGTGACAGCTCTTCAGGGATCCAAATGTGGCATCTGAGCTCTTTGTGATGTGTTTTGCAATTTCCTAGAGGTGGATGCTGCCTGAGGGTCATGTTTTCGCCCCTGCTTCCCTATGGTGTCTGGCTCATAGCATCAGGGAGGGTCTGTGGGGTGGCTGAGTTTGGATCTAGGTGGTTGGCATTAAAGTGGCATGTGCCTGTAATCCCAGCTACTCCGGAGGATGAGGCAAGAGAATCGCTGGAACCTGGGAAGTGGAGGTTGCAGTGAGCCGAGATCGTGCCACTGCACTCCAGCCTGGCAACAGTGTGAGACTGTTTAAAAAAAAAAAAAATCTCCCTGGCTTTTGGTTTTTTTCCGAGACAGAGTCTTGCTCTGTTGTCCAGGCTGGAGTGCAGTAGTACAATCTCAGCTGACTGTAGTCTTGGCCTCCAGAGTGCAAGCGATTCTCATGCCTCAGTCTCCAAGTAGATGGGATTATAGGTGCCTGCCACCATGCCCAGCTAATTTTTCTATTTGTATTAGAGATGAGGTTTCACCGTGTTGGCCAGGCCGGTGTCCAACTCCTGACTTCAAGTGATCCTCCCTTCTCGGTCCCCCAAAGTGCTGGGATTGCAGCCACTGTGCCTGGCCCCTGGCTTTGGGTTTTCTGCTCACCATCGTGGCCTGCCTCCTTCCCTTCCATGAATAGTCACTATGTGCCCGGCTCCATGCCTTGTCCTGGGGACACAGGGGACAGATGCCATCCTGGTCATGGGGGAGGATGTGGCATTTTCATGAAGAGCTATGATCGAGGGGGGCTCATGGCTGCTTCAGGAGCCCAGAGGAGGTGCCTGACCCCACCAGGCTTCCTTGCAGACAAGGTGACAGTGGTGCAGAGGTGGCTGAGAGGAACGGGCCTCAGATACTGGACTCTCAGACCCGGACACAGGGGTAAGCACTGGGCCCCTACCTTGCAAGGCAGGAGTCACTGAGAGCTTCATCTCTTTCCAGGTCAGCCATGTCATCTGAGCCTCCCCCCCCACCACAGCCCCCCACCCATCAGGCTTCAGTTGGGCTGCTGGACACCCCTCGGACCCGTGAGCGTTCACCATCCCCACTGCGGGGCAACGTGGTCCCGAGCCCACTGCCCACTCGCCGGACGAGGACCTTCTCAGCGTGAGTCTAGAGCTGGCTGGGGACGCTTTCTCAGATGGGTCTCTGGCCATTTTTGGAACTCGGTGTCCCAGGCTGTCAAATAGGCAGACCTGGGGCTGGACTGGTGAGAAACTGGGACGGTGCCTTCTAAATTCAGGGTACTGCCCAGCCCACAAGAACCTGTTATGAGCTGGGAGTGGCAATGGGTGGGCAACTGCTGGGGTCAGAATCACTGGGCTTTAACCACACATGACAGTCTCTTTCCCTGTGAGACTGAATTCTGCAGCTGCAAAATGGGCACAGTGCCAGGGCTGCAAAGGACCCACACGATGCCAGGCAGATGCAGGTCTTTGGCTCTGTGAGTGGAGGAGGCTCCTGTTATAAGTAATTAATTAATCATTAGCTTTTGGAGGGATGCTCAGTGATCTTTTAGTTCAACTCCCTCCTTCCAGGTGGGTAACAGGTCTGAGATTACATAGCAACTCTCCCAGAGTTGTGCAGCCTGTGTGACTGTACATGGTGGCCCTGGCCAGGGCTTCCTGGGGCACAGCTGTTGGCAGGGGCTGGAATGAGTTTCATGTGTCCAGGGGAGCTGGTGGCTGTCCTGGAGTGCTTTTGGGACCCCTCACCCTCCCCTCCCCTCTTCTCTTTGTCAGGACCGTGCGGGCGTCACAGGGCCCTGTCTACAAAGGAGTCTGCAAATGTTTCTGCCGATCCAAGGGCCATGGCTTCATTACCCCAGCTGACGGCGGCCCCGACATCTTCCTGCACATCTCTGAGTGAGTTGGCGGCGGGTCTGGGTGGCCTGGCTGGGGGGTGATTCCTTGGCTCTGTGGAGGTGGTGTGTGACCGTGCTGGGTGTGAGGACAGATGGCAGGCCTGTGTGACTCCTCTTGTGGGAGACAGGGTGGTAACAGGTGTGCATGAGGCTGTGGGTGACACGGTACTTGCGATTGTGCCTGGGTAAGGTTTTATGTGTGTGTCATCATGGATCTGGGGATGCCCAGCCATGCTTGTGGGAGACAGGGTGGTAGCAGCTGTGCTACCAAGGACTGCTAGGGTGAGTTCAAGTGCCCACTGTATCTGGCCAATGGAGAACCCTTTTTGGCCTGGGGAGCAGGCCGGCTACCTGCCCTCATTTGGGGAAGTAGACAGGGAAGGAAGTGTGGGGTGGGCCCCTTTCTCCTGCTGCACACTCAATGATGTCCTATCTGGAAGCCCTTGGAGAGCCTGATGTGGGACACACACATCCTAGGGCTGGGCAGCACCCAGCGTCCCCAAGTCTTTTACTTCAGGCAGGGGCAGACAGAGTTCTACTCCGCACAGCAGAGCCGCCAATTGCCCAGTACCTATTAGATGGGCGGGCAGGCAGGAGAAAAGTGCCACGGGGATGCATTTCACATAGAACGCATGCATCGATGTGTAAATGTATTTCCATACTGCTTCTTCCCAGAAAGGATTTTGAATCAGTAAGGAAAACATAGAGGTCGGAGTAAATAAGAGGGATGGAAATACTGTGATGTCTGGGTTCTGCTGCTCAAAGTGCGTTACGGATTTATTTCTGAGCTCCTTGGTGACCAAATCAGAGGGAAACTCTTTTTGCCATATGATTCTCAAATCAAAACAAACCAGTTACTGGGGGAGCTGGCTGGCCCTGGCATTTTCAGTCTGAATGGGGTTTTCCTTCCACACTATGATTCTTATCAAGGGGACATCAAGATGCCAATCTCATGTGAGATGGTGACTCGTGTCCCCTAGAAAGTAAGAGAACCTTCCTGGGGGTGGTCGAAGGGAGAGAGGCCCCTTCAGGAACTAGCTTCAAGCACCCAGGGGACCTTCTTGAAGGCTCACTGGGAGGCCAGGTGTCGTGGCTCACGCTTGCAATTCCAGCACTTTAGGAGGCCATGGTAGGCAGATCACTTGAGGTCAGGAGTTTGAGACCAGCCTGGCCAACATGGTGAAACCCTGTCTCTAGTAAAAATACAAAAATTAGCCAGGCATGGTGGTGAGCTCCTGTAATCCCAGTTACTCGAGAGGCTGAGGCAGGAGAATCCCTTGAACCTGGGAGGTGGAGGTTGCAGTGAGCTGAGATCACACCACTGCACTCCAGCCTGGGTCACAGAGCAAGACTGTCTCAAAAATAAAAGCCTCACCGCCATGGCCTCATTTCCCTCTGGCTTGGACCAGCTGTCTCTACTCTCCATCCATAAGTCCAGGCTCCCTCCCAAAGGTGGCTGAGCCCTTTCAGTGCCAGTATCCAAAGTCCCATGGCCTCCTTGGCTAGGACAGAGGCTGGGGACAGTCTGGCAGCTCCCTGTCGTGGAGGGCAGTTCTTTGCAAAGGGTTTTCCAGTGGCCAGATGGTGCCCGCTTTGGTGGCCCTATGACCAGAAGGGTGCTAGTGTCTTGGGTGTGTAGTCTGTGAGCCTTTTCCCAGTGTGAGCACTGACTGCTTTTGTTGTGCCCCGGTAGCGTGGAAGGGGAGTATGTCCCAGTGGAAGGCGACGAGGTCACCTATAAGATGTGCTCCATCCCACCCAAGAATGAGAAGCTGCAGGCTGTGGAGGTCGTCATCACCCACCTGGCACCGGGCACCAAGCACGAGACTTGGTCCGGACATGTCGTCAGCTCCTAGGAGACGCTGGAAGCACCCCTTCTGTGCCTGTGGGAGACTTTGTGGGGAGCAGGCGGCAGACTCTGGAGATGACATTCTTCCACACGAGATGGGGCTTTGCGGGGGCATGGGCCCTTTCAAATATCTCCTGGAGGAAGGGGTGTGTGGGTCAGGCATGAGGTGTTCCCGGCCACCAGCACAGTCTCTGACCATTGCAACAACCTCTCACCACCTGAAGAGAATTAAAAGCATTTAAAAAGTAGAGGTGCCCCCACTGGTGGCTGCATGGAGGTTCCAATCCCAGCCCAGGGAGTGGATTGAGGGTGTTCCTCCAGCTGCTTAGACACGTGGGCTCAACCCAAAGCATCCCTCTTCCTCCCGGAGCTGCAGGCTCCAAATCCCCATATTTGGCCCACTAGCAGCTGACATGGACCCCATGTGACTTCCCCAAGGCGAATTTCCACGCAAGTGCCCCTTGCACCTCTCCTTGGACTGGGCAAAGCAGTCCAATTCTTGGCTTGGTTGGTACTAGGGGAGCTGTCTTTAAGCAGGTTGGAAAATAGGGGGAACTTTGGATTGGACAGATCTTGCCTTTAGGTGCCTTTGCAGTGGGAGTTGCCTTACATAGCTGGCTGTCTGGGGAAGACAGTTTCCCTAAGCACTCCCACCCCTGGGCACAGCAGGCTGGTACAGGGAAGCTGAACCCCTAACAGTGCCTGACCTTTTAATCTGCCTTCTGGTCACGTGACCATCACTTAACAGCCATTTCACAGCCCCTGTCATTACTGTGGCAGGGTGGGGGTGGTGGGAAGGCTCTTTAAAAACTTTCTCCTGGCCGGGCGCGGTGGCTCAAGCCTGTAATCCCAGCACTTTGGGAGGCCGAGGCGGGTGGATCACGAGGTCAAGAGATCGAGACCATCCTTGTCAACATGGTGAAACCCCGTCTCTACTAAAACTACAAAAAATTAGCTGGGCATGGTGGCACATGCCTGTAATCCTAGCTACGCAGGAGGTTGAGGCAGGAGAATTGCCTGAGCCCAGGAGGCGGAGGTTGCGGTAAGCCGAGATCGCGCCATTGCACTCCAGCCTGGGTAACAAGAGCGAAACTCCGTCTCAAAAAAAAAAAAAAAAAACAAAAAAAAAAACCACCTTCTCCTGAAACAAACAAAAAAGGACTAGTAGCCTACCTCCAGACAGTCTGGCAAAGCTGAGAAGTTGATGGGGGGGGGGGGCGGTTCTTTAAAACTAGTGTTAAAAAATGCTTAGGGATTTTTTTTCTTATTTTTTCATAACTAAAGCTTTTAGCCAGAGCCGGCTCTGTTTGCACCTTGCTGCCGACATTGCTAACTTTTTTTTTTGGGGGGACAGAGTCTCACTCTGTCACCCAGGCTAGAGTGCAGTGGTGCGATCTCGGCTCACTGTAACCTCTGCTTCCTGGGTTCCAGTGATTCTTCTGCCTCAGCCTCCCAAGTAGCTGGGATTACAGGTGTGTGTCACCAAGCCCGGTTATTGTTTCTGTTCTTACCGGAGATGGGGTTTCACCATGTTGGCCAGGCTGGTCTCCAACTCCTGCTGAGGTGATCCGCCCGTCTCGGCCTCCCGAAGTGCTGGGATTTCAGACGTGAGCCACCGCACCTGGCCTGCAAACTTCTTTGTAGGTATTTCTGGTACACAAATCCTTAGATTTTCTTTGCTGTGGTTTTGGTTTGGCTTTAGTCATGATCTGAAAGTAGAAATAGCTAGGCATTACATTTTGAAATAAATGGCCTGTATGTCATCAAGAATCCACTTGTCAGCACATGGAAGGAAACCTTTTGTAAAAAATGGCTTTCGGGCAGACAGTAACTGTCAGAAAAGAGGGGGGATGGTTTGATGCTGGAAGCAGGAACGGCTTCAGTACTTACCAGCTCTGCAGTGGTTTGTCCTTTCAGCCTAGGAACTGCTGCCTTTGAAAGGGGTGGAAAGTTGTTTTAAAACAGGCAAATCCACGTGTTGGTTGTGAGAGTGTGATAAACAGCCAGTTCCTACCGCAGTGAGGTCCTGGGCAGTGTTTTCTTCGCCCGCAGTACCCCTTGTAGGTTCTCACTCTCCTCTCCTGCCTCTGCCTTCTGCTGGGTCAAAGGTGGCCTTTTTCTCTCCAGCCGTGAATTGTTCCCTGGTGGCTTCCTGAGGGCCCGTCTGCTGGTATAGCCACACTTCCAAAGCCAAGACCCGTGGGGGCTCCTTGACTCCCCCAGACCTCTCTCCCGCTCCATCCTCACCTTGGCACAGTGGCCATGGCGGCGCTGGTGGTGGCAGCGCTATTACCTGTTACCTGTGTGCTGGCGCTTTGGCAGACTCTGGCCAGCAGTGAGCTGGGGGATTGTGTTCTGCTATTCAGGGGTGACCTTTGGATTCTCTCTTGGCAGAATCCTTTGCCAGTGGCTCTTGCTCTGTTCTTCCTGTATGGCCACAGCTCTTTAAATAATAGGTATTCTAGACTGCAGGATGTCAGAACCGGAAGGGATGCGACACCAGATTAGAGAAGGTGAAGATCCTGGAGGCTCCGGGAGGGATGGAGGGTGTTGCTGCCAGACCAAGAACTAGAATCTAGGATTCCTGAACCCTCATCTTTCCTCCCACTGGCCATCTTTCTCTCAATAAAGTGTTTTGTGCAAAGTGTGCATGTTTCTGTGTGGAGGGTGGCTCACTAAGGCGCTTTTCCTTTAAGTCGTCAGGTAAGGATGTCTCCCTCAGGCAAGCCTGACACACTTAGCAGTCTTTTTTTAGGGGGTGATGAATAAGAAACTGGGATCATCTGTTTTTCTTTAATCATCATTCTCCAGCACAAGAAAGCTTAGCAGGAAGGAGAATGCAGCTTCCTGGCAACAGAAAATGCCACCGACCTGGTCAGCGGCTGTCCAGTGCCCTGTTGAAGCTTTTAGGATGTTGTGTGACTTACACCTCATTCCCACTGCACACCTGTGACAAGAGGGGACTGGCCTTGGGGTGCAGACTGTCCACGGTACCTGGTTCACTCCTGCTATAGAGATGCTTTTTATGTTTTGAGGCAAGGTCTTGATTTGTCACCCTGCAGCCTTTACCTCATGGGCTCCAGTGGTCCTCCTTCAGCCTCTTGAGTAGCTGGGACTACAGGCATATGCTACCATGCCTGGGTCATAGTTAAATTTTTTGTAGATAGCATCTTGATATATTGTCCAAGCTGGTCTTGAATTCCTGGACTCAGCCCATCTTGCCTCTGCCTTCCACAGTGCTGGGAGTAGATGTGTGAGCCGCTGTGCTCGGCCGCTGTTACAGACATTTGATGGATGTTTGCTAGGTTGGGCACAGTGGCTTACGCCTGTAATCCCAGCATTTTGAGAGGCTGAGGCAGGTGGATGGCTTGAGCTCAGGAGTTTGAGACCAGCCGGGCATCACGGTGAAACCTGGTCTCTATCAAAAATAAAGAATTAGCTGGCAATGCTGGCATTAGCCTGTGGTCCCAGCTACTTGAGAAAATTGCTTGAACCCGAGAGGCAGCGGGTGCAGTGAGCTGAGATGGCGCCACTCTACTCCAGCCTGGGTGGTGGCAAGACTACATCTCAAAAAAGGAAAAATGTCCATCTCTGCACCACCCAAAATCACCCTTGGGACACACTGGCCAGAACGAAACCTTCCCAGTAGAGCACAATGCCCCCCATAGAGTGGCCCTGGCCAATCACTGCTCTGGAGACCAAGAAAGGGGGTTCTCAGACCTCCCCACCTTCTGACACTCATTCCCACTGCTCCAACTGCAAACCATTCTTCCCTGCTATGGACTTGGAAACAGATGAGGCTTGAGTTGCCAGGGAGAGTCCAAGGCTGGATATCTTTTCAATCCACTTTGTGCCTGACTCTCCCTTCTCCTTCCCCTGCCCCTCCCCCTCCCCCTTCCCTTCCTCCTTTCCTTCCACCTTCCCCTTCCTTTCCCTTCTGCCTTCCCTTCCCTTCAGCCTTCCCTTCTGCTTTCCCTTCCCATTCCTTTTGCCTTCACTTCTCTTCTCTACTTTCCCTTCCGCCTTCCCTTCTCCCTTCCCCTCCGCCTTCCCTTCTCCCTTCCCCTCCGCTTTCCCTTCTCCCTTCCCCCCCGCTTTCCCTTCTCTTCTCTGCCTTCCCTTCTCCCTTCCCCTCTGCCTTCCCTTCTCCCTTCCCCTCCGCATTCCCTTCTCCCTTCCCCTCCGCCTTCCCTTCTCCCTTCCCCTCCGCCTTCCCTTCTCT